GATGGGGAGGCAGAGGGAAGCAGCCGAAGATGCCAGAGATGGCGTGGGGACACACGGACACTGTCCGTAGGACAGGCCTTCTGCCAGGTGCCAGTCATCACCCTCTCTCATGGGGGATGGGGGCAGCCTGGCCAGGCTCAGGGACTGAACTAGGACATCCGCCTCTTTAACTCACACTCGGGACAGAGGCTTAGGCACGGACCTCCTGAAGCCAGAACTGACAAAAGTCCCATTGGCTGTGTCCACAGTCTGGGGACCCTCTTTAACACCAACTCATGGGGTCCCACTGGAGCCCCGGTGGTGCAGTGGTTAAGAGCTCAGCTGCTAACCAAAAGGTCGGCAGTTTGAAGCCAGCAGCTGCTCCTTGGAAACCCTATGGGGCAGTTCTACTCTGTCCAATAGGGTCGCTATGAGTTGTAATAGACTCGACGGCAATAGGTTTTTTTTTTTTTTTTTCCATGGGGTCCCACTAGAACTCCCAGGGTGGTCCCTGACAGCTCCTGCTGTGGGTGAGCCAGTAGCTGAGGGCTGGGGCCTGAGAGGAAACCCCTCAGTGTGAGGTGGCTCATGAACCCCTGTGGTGGCACAGACGGCAAGGTCAGGACGGCGCCATCTTGGAACAGATTTGCTCTAAATTAGGGTTGGCCCCAGCCTGAGTGGGAGTGAAACCACCCATGAGGCCAGAGTCAGAAGGAGGGGCCCCTTGGACATCAGCTCCTGACCTGAATGGGGCCCCAGGCTGGAGTGTAGGCAGGAGGAAGCATAGGGGGCCCCCCACAAGGGACAAAGGTAGATCCAGCTGGCCAGGGATGATTTTGAGAACAGCCCCAACAAGTGCCATCCACCGTGTGCCATTCTCCCCAAGCCACCTCACTGATCCTCTCAACTACCCTTTGTTGTGGGCATTACTGTACAGAGGAGGAAACTGAGGCTCAGGGATAGTGACTCTTCTCAGGCCCCAGGGCAAGTGAGTGGTGGGACAGGGGTCTGACCCCTCCCCCGTCTTGGGCAAGCGTCCAGGACACCTGCTCTCCAGCTGCCCTCAGGCACAGGGCATCCAGGACTTGTAGTCTTGCACTGCCCAAAACGTCCA